GGTGTAGGGTGTGGGTGTGGGTATGGGTGTGTGGGAGGGTGGGGTGTAGGGTGTAGGGTGTGGGTGTGGGGTGTGTGGGAGGGTGGGAGGGTGGGGTGAGGGTGTAGGGTGTGGGTGTGGGTGTGGGTGTGTGGGAGGGTGGGGTGTGGGGTGAGGGTGTAGGGTGTGGGTGTGGGTGTGGGGTGTGTGGGAGGGTGGGGTTAGGGTGTAGGGTGTGGGTGTGGGTATGGGTGTGTGGGAGGGTGGGGTGTGGGGGTGTGGGGCATGGGAGCGTGGGGTGTGGGGTGTGTGTGGGGGAGGATGGGGTGGGGGTGTGGGGGTATGGAGTGTGGTGTGGGGTGTGGGTGTGTGGGGGTGTGGGGGTGTGGGACGGTGGGGTGTGTGGGTGTGTAGGAGTGTGTAGGGTGTTGGGGTGTGGGTGTGAGGTGAGGGTGTGGGTATGTGGGGTGTTGGGGTGTGGGTGTGTAGGGGTGTGGAGGTGTGGGTGTGTGGGTGTGAGGTGAGGGTGTGGGTACGTGGGGTGTGCGGTGTGTGGGTGTGGGGGTGTAGGGGTGTGGAGGTGTGGGGGTATGAGTGTCGGGGTCTGGGGTGTGGGCGTGTGGTGTGGGCTGGGGAGGAGGCAGGCTCTGGCTAGGCTCTCTTGCCCCCATGGCTCCAGGGAGCCAGCCTCTCTGAGCCTCAGCTGGGAAGTGGAGTGAAGACACCACCCCGAGTGAGGGAGCAGCCGCAGCCTCAGGGAGGAGCTGGAGACCCGGCCTCCTTGTTGACTGCAGAGCCAGCCTCCACACCTGCTGCCACCTGCTGGTCACATGCCCTCCTGGGCCCTTGTCCTGCCCTCGCTGATCCAGAGCTGCCCCTAACCTTCAGCAACAAGTCCAGCTCCTCTCCTGGTGACAAGTTATAGGCCTGGCCTGTCCATCGCGTGGCTTAGTCTCCTGCCCCTTCCCCAGGGGGAAGCCCCGCCTGGCAGCCTTTCCTGTCTGGATGTGCCACGCAGTGCACAGAACCCTCCACGTGCTCAGCCCTCCAAGGGCGCCCATCTCCAGGTCCTGGACACAAAAGTCCTGTTCAGGTCTCGAACTCCCTGGAGAACACCACAACTGTCCTTCAAAGATCACACGATGAAAGCAACGCACGCCCATTATGAGGATGTGCAGGGGACCCACAGATGTCCCCCCAGTTGGTTTAACCTGGAGCCTATAAGCTGACCACAGCTAAGGGCCACCAAAGAGGGCCTTGTCCTTTGGCCCGTTCAGCCCACAGAGGAGAAAACACAGAACAAAGTCCCAATGGCGCTGCTGGAGCAGATAGCGAGAGGTCTCGTGTGTTCTGAAGGCTGGGAGGGAGCCTTGCAGGAGCGGATGCCACCAGACCCCGTACCTCACCACATGGCCTCGGGCTGCTTTCCCTCGATCTTCTCACAAATGCGTACTTTCTTCTAATTCCTCCCTGCTCACCGGGGCACTGACCCCTGGATTCTCTCAGAGGCTGCCCTTTCTGCCCTGGAATCCCACCTGCGTGTTCCAGAATAACACTTCTGCTCCTGGCAAGGGGGTCCATGGGCGAAGCCAGCTTAGGTGTCTCTGGGCAGGCGTGAATGCGCTCCCCAAGGCACAGCTCTCCGTGTCCCCAGGTGCTAGCCGGCCCTGGGAATCTCTGATAAGGGTTTATGGCACCAGTGGTCCCATTTCCTCAGTGCACTGGATCTTGTTAAGAGGGGAACACGCTGTGGGGAGGAACACGCTGTGGGAAGTGCTTGCAGACCCTGGGTAAGCTTAGACCTGAAGCTTGACAAGGTGACACTCCGTCTAAGGCCAGGCACACTCAGCGCCCTGCAGATGGTACCTGGCGGATGGGGCAGCGTGGGGCACAGCTGCTCTGAGCCGGGCACACCACTCTGTGGGTCGGCCTTTGTGAAGGAGCTGGGGCTCCAAGCTGCCTTGTAAAGGGACTGATCAGTTCTGAAATCCAGGGAAACTGCCGTTTCTGCTGCAGTGGTGACACCTTGTGGCTAAGGGGTACACAAAGGGGACAGCCATTGCCTCCCACCTTCACTTGGTTGCTGCTGTGAGAAGTTCCCCTCCCAGAAGCCCTGGTCCCCCCAGACACGAATGTCGGGTTATCAAGGCCTGACTTTTCTGCCCATCCCCTGCCACTATGGCTTGTCCATGAGCTCTGGCTGCCACCGCTCACCCTGGGGGTTCAGGATCCTCCTGACCCACCCCTGCCCTTTACCACCGCCTTCCCTAAAGTATTCCAGCCTCCTTCCCTGATATTCGAATCCTCTTCCTTCCAGTATGTGGAACTCAGCTGACCGGCATGGGCTACAAAGTGTGCTCAGAGGTCTCCCCTGGGTGAGCTCCTCCAGCCCTGCCCACAGCCTCCCAGGAAGGTGACTAGGCTCCTCCTGGTTTTGTTGTTTCTCAGATAAAGATAGTAAGGGCAGAGAGGCTGCAAGACACTCGCAGCTACAAGAGGAGAAATCCTGGCTTCCTGGTTGCAGATCCCTGTTCCTTTCTCTGCTAGTTTGTTTCCACTGAGCGCCAAGTCAGAAGGGACAGATCTCTGATGTCGGACATTCTGTCTGCGAATGCAGGAGGTCGGAGGGGCCATGCCACCATGGTGGGCTGCAGTGTTTTAAAAGTCAGAAGAGGTTTCGGACCGACACGCAGAGGAAGAAGATGGGGACAGGTTCCGGGCCCGTGGCAGGTGGGATGGGAGAGCCTCTCCTCGGGACCTCAACTTGAATCTGGCACTAGTGGGGCCATGCACAGCCCTGCCTGTCCCCCAAGGTCCCCATTCTGACTGAGGCAGGACAAAGCTGCTCCCTCCAACCTCCTGCCTTGCTCTCAGACCCCCCCCCCCCCCAGGGATCACCTGAGAACTAAGCTTTGGCTCCTGGTCACAGAGAGGTCTCTCCCGGGAGAGGCAGAAGGGCTGGGACCCGGTGCCCTGTGAGGCTCCCAGAAGGTGCTGAGGCCCACGGCAGAGGCCGGCCTCCCTGAGGGACCCTTCAGGCCCTTTCATCCCTGTCCTCAGGAGGGTGCAGCACTGGGTGAGCGGCGGGCAGCTGGTGCGCTCATGCAGGACTTTCCACACGGGCCGGCGCCAGGCGAAGGCAGTATAATATTTGTAGAACTCTTTTTCCCTCCTAGCTTCTCTCTGGACTTAAAGGTCAAATACCAGCTGCCCAGCACAGAACTGGTCTCCTGGCAACAGGAGCCAAACCTCCCGCCTCCTTCCTTGTGGCCCATGTGGTGAGACTGGGGGCAGGGCCATAAACGGGTGGTGACTTTGCAGAGGAGGGGGTGGTGAGCCTGGGTGGACTGGGATGGGATTCAGATAGGAGGTGGGACTAGGACATTCCCCTCTTGGGTGCAGCCACAAGCTTAGACTCAGGGCCTCAAATGTACACTTTAGGTCATAACTAAAATCCCACCAGTGCCTCTGCGCAGAGTGGCCGTCAGTTTGTGCTTTCACAGGAGAAGAATAGGATGGGGAACGAGGAAACTGAGACAGCACTTATCACATGCTTCTGCTAAGTGCTTCTGCTGAGTGCTTCTGCTGAGTGCTTCTGCTAAGTGCTTCTGCTAAGTGCTTCCCGTGAATCATTTTCATTTCTCACAAATACCTGCCAGGTAGGCCTTATGAGACACCAGTGCTTGAATGGAAGGCCCCAGAATCACAAGCGCCCAGTGGAGGAGCAGCCCTCCAGGGCATCTGACTGGTCAGCCCTGCCTCCCGGCCGCCCTCGCCTCCCCCGCTGTCCCTCACCTGGCGGGACCAGTGGCCGCTCCTGGTTCTGGGTGTTGTAGCTCTTCCAGCTGTACTGCGGGGCCGGGGAGCCCTCTGCTGACTGGCAGGTCAGCTGGATGTTGTTCCCAATCACTGTCTCTCCCTCAATGCTGCAGTCCGGCTTGGAGGGTGGCACTGGGAAGGAGAAGGAGCACGTTGGATGGGGTGGGCCGCCACCTGCCTCCCCAACACACATCCACGCACAGACCACCGTGTTCGTTCCCAGGCCGAGGAATCTGCGCTCGGTGGCGAGATGGAACGCTGGGAGATCACTTCACTTCAAAGTATGGGCTCCTGCTGTCGCCCGCTGAGAGGCAGCACGCACGTGGCCAGCATGGCGTCCGGCAGGGGCGCCGCAGCTTGGTTCCTGTGCTCTCTACTTCAGAGTACGGGATTTTGAAGGCAGTCCAATGTGGCCATCATAAAGATGGGGAACTGAGGCCCAGAGGGGACACCTCTCATGGGTGCTGGCGAGCTGGGATAGCTCCCAGTTCTCCTGACTGCAGACCCAGCGCCCACTGCACACCCCTCGCCACGTTGGGGAAATCCCACTCCCTCAGGTCCCCCACCTTCCTATCTGCAAAATTAGGGACATCACACCTCTCCGTAGAGGGCCAGAGGCGATGCTTTTACATCTGTGGACTGCGTTACTGCGACTGCTTTTTAAATAACGCTTTAGACCTGTGGAAACAGGCAGTGGCCTGGACCTGGTGTTGGCCACCCCTCGGTCAAAGGCTCTCGAGAGCCCTTCAGCTCTGACCTCTCAGTGACGTTCTCTGGTTTTGCTTTGGCCCCTTCCCGCACTGTGCTCAGAAAACACATCACTGCCCTGGCATGGCAGGAGGGACCCTGGGCAGCCCCAGAGGTGTCCACTGAGACCAAAGGGACACAGGGGCAGGGATAAGAAAGGGAAGCCCCAGCAAAGAGGTTGCAAACCCACAGGCCACCAACTACCCACATCCTCAGCTACCCACAGCCTCCCTGGGGCCTGGAGCCTTTCCCCCAGCGGCCTTCACAGGCCACGGTGTAGGGTGCGTCAGCAGGCCTGCCTTACTGGGCACTGTCATGCCGAAAGTGCTGGACACTGCACCAGGGAATCCCGGGGGCAAAGGACAAGCAGTCTCACTGCCTCCAGGCAGACAGCCAGGCCCACTCACACATGGCTGGGACATGAAGGAGAGTGGGGGCACAGGAGGTGACAGTGGAGCTGGGTGGGCCAGAGGAGAGGCGGGGCACTCCGGGCCAGGCCGACTGAAGGCTCCGTGTGCGAAGGCTCGGAGCTTGCTGGAGGGTGGGGGACAGCACATTCACACGCCCCCTGGGATGGCTTGCTTGCCGTTGAACAATGCCACCACTTCTGTCATCCAGGTGCACAGTCACTGAGCATTGATTGTCATCCCAATCTGGGCCCCACCCGGAAGTTACGGGGAACAGCTGTCCAGGACACACCTTCCTGCCCTGGCCAGCAGCTGCAGTGCTCTCTGAAAACAGGTGTGTTGCTGGGTGTGTCCAACATCCCTAGCTGCCAGGGAGCCAGCCAGGCGTGAGGAGGAGGGATAACTCATCAGACGCACTTGCTCATTGCTGCTCCCAGGAGGACAGTCCCTAAACCTAAGGGGCAGAGGATCCAATCCAGTCCTCCTATACGCCAGCCCAGTTCCCCAGGATTGCAGCAGCATGAACCCAGGGAGGCTGCCCCCGAAGACCATGAACCAGCTGCCTTCTTGCCCACTTTGGGGATGAGAGGTCCCTGGGGGACAAGAGGAAGTGACATTTCCAAGGAACCAGGACAGGCCTGCTGCTCCACGTCTTCTCTCGTGAGCTCCAGGGGGGTACAGAACAGGGCTCTCTGCTGCCCGACCTTTCCCTCTTGTTCCCAGGCAGCCTTCACCAGGAGGCGCGGCCCTCAGGCCACAGGGGAGCCGGCAGGAGCCCCAACACCTGGAGGAGCCCCAACACCTGGAGGAGCCCCAACACCTGGAGGAGCCCCAACACCTGGAGGAGCCCCAGCCGGCCAGAGTCCCACCAAGTCCCCCAAGTGTGGGGCTGCACCCGGAGCCCTGCTAGGTCAGGTAGCTCCGTGAACCGCGACAAAGGGGAAGGGGAGTAACCAAGGCCAACTGCATCTCCAGAGGCATTAAGGGGGGGGGGGGTGATGATGATGATGATTCTGGAGCATTCGAAGACCAGCAGCGTGATGGGGAAAGCCTGGAAATCACATCCTGAATTATCTCAGGAGCCCAATTTGAGATGATGGCAAGAAGGCAGCAGCCAGCCCCAGGAGGTGAGCTTTCCACAGCGCCCTGGCCTCTGCAGGCCGCCCCTGCCCTCACTGGGCTCCCACCAGAAGCAGGGCGACCTCCACTGAGCCACACGGGCGCGGGTTCTGCCTCCCGGGCCACCCCTGGGAAGCGGGACGCCTCGCCCCCGCGGCAGACGCCAGGGGGCGCCAGAGGCCGCGCGGGCGCTGCGCACCTGCTCCAAGATACAGGGACCCACAGCAGGCCACCGCGCAGCCGGCCGTCTCCGCCCAACAGCGGCCCTGCGGAAGAAAACTTCCAAGAATTGTTCGTAGCATGTAGGACAAACTGATCTCTTTCTTTTTAAAAGCAAAACATTGATTTCACTGAGTGATGTGATTTCAGATTGAACTTGTGTCCTTCACCCTCAGGCTGGCTCTTGACACGGAGTGAAAGGACCTGGGGCTGTTTAAACTGACCCCAACATATATATCTCCGTGTGTGTGCGCACCGGGGTCGTATGACAGCATGGTCCCTGTGGGGGAAATGGCAACCGCCTTGATATGCACCATAGGAAACAGTTGAATAATCATGATACATCCAGGTGGCAGAGTTTACGCCGCGACTGGGTGGGTCTATCTGAGTTGATCAGGAGAAATGTGCATGAAGAATAAAGAAAAATCAAGTTGCAGAATGATCTTTATATTACTGTCCTGCTTTGGAAGGAGCCTGAGGGAGCAGGAGGACCTGCTTGCCTTGCCCGGGCGGCCCACAGAGGAGGGTGGAGCTGGTCTTTGCGGTTGTCTATACAGCACTAGCTTGTGTGGCTATGCAGTCTGGCTCCCTGAAATGCTTTCAAGCAGTCAAGCATCCCCTTATGCAATTAGAAATAAAACACTGCCAGGTGCCGTGAAGGGGAAAGAAACAGAAAAGTGACCTTTTAAACAGAAAAAGGTTTGACAAGTTGCTGCCTCCCAGGGTAGGGCTGCTCCTTACAGTGGGCCTACGTGGCGCCCACTGAGGTTTTTCCAATACTCGCTTTGAGAAGTTGCTTTCTTCCTCTCTGTCTCATCTTAAAACCGAGGATATTGAAGTAGATGATCTTTGGGGCCCTTCCAAAACCATACATTCCAATAAGTCACTTGTCTAAGAAGAATGTTGTCTCAGAACGTCTTCCAAAGTAGCGGAGGGGCTGAGGCTGGGGCTCAGCGGCCGAGCGCTTGCCTAGCGTGTGTGAGGCCCTGGGTTCCACCCCAGCACCACGGAAAACAAACAAAACCCAAAGGTAGCGGAGCCTGAGAGTGGTGTCTATAGGGCTGGCGTGGGAGGGCTGGCGTGGGAGGGTGGTGTGGGGTCTTCCTCTGGGAGCTGCCCTAGGACAGGGAGAGGCGCACTACCTCAGTCACCACGTGGCCCCAAGAGTCCCATATTGAGGCACAACAGGATTTGGGGCTTCTCTTTTTCTTCTCTTTCATGAGTTTGTCATGGAAAGGGAGGAGTTGGTGTGGGGAGAAGAGCTCCGGGTGGGACACTCCAGACTCTCCTTCTCCGATCTCTGGAACAGTCTGCCATTTGTGGAGAACTCAGGCAGCCCACATTTCAAAGGGGGAGCAGTGGGCCCTGCCCTGGGACAGACTGGCAAGCCACTGCTGCCTGTCGTCTTACCTGGGGAACCTACCACGGTACCACCTACCAAGTACCTGACCACCAAGTACCTTGCCTCATCACTGGGCAACTTGCTTACCTTACCACAGGTACGTTACCACCAAGTACCTTGCCACCAAATACCCTGCCTTATCACCAAGTACCTTACCACCAGGTGCTTTTACTGGCCCCAGCCTCTTCCCACCCCCCAGGAGAGAGACGCAGCACTCACCAAGGACCAGCAGGCGGACGCGTGACTTGGAGGTGCCCACCATGTCTGACAGCAGCGAGACGGAGCACTCGTAGGTGCCGTTGTCATCCATGGTCAGCTGGTCGATGGTGATGGAGGCGTCCGACTGCCCAACATTGCTTGATACGTTGACGCGATTCTCATAACGCTCGCCGTAGATATAGCTTTGGGTCTTAAATGTCCAGATGACCACTTTTTCCTGAGAGGAATAAGAAATGCCACTTGGTCCTCTCCCCCAAGGCCCTGACCTGGGCCTGTCCTTGGTGGCCCTTATTGGCTACCCCGAGACGCCAGAGGCACAGACGCAGGCCCCTTGGACCAGAGCCAGCGCAGGTGCCCATGGGTGGTGCCTTCTGCTCCTGTCCCTCTAGGAGGTCTTAGGATTCACCTTAAGTGGAAGGACCGGGACCCTGGGAAAGGGCAGGGCAGTTCAGCCCACGGGGGCACTTGTGTGGGCAGCGGGCTTTCTGGGATCCCTGGGGCCTCTCTTGCTGATCACCCGCCCCTTGTCTCCTCCCATTCAGACAGCCCGTGCTTACCGAGCACCTGCCGCGTGCAACCACCCAGGGCTTCCAACTCACTTTCTTTTCTGTTTTCTTTTACTTTATTTTTATTTTTTTGATACTGAGGATTGAACCCAGGGGCACTCAACCCCTGAGCCACATCCCCAGCCCTTGTTATTCAGAGACAGGGTCTCACTGCGTTGCTTAGGGCCTTCCGAAGCAGCTGAGGCTGGATTTGAACTCGGGACTCCTGCCTCACCACTGAGCTGCTGGGAGGACAGCGTGCAGCACAGCCCAGCTCCCTTTATTTTCTTGACTCCTGGCTTTGGAAGTCATTCATTTGCTGATAACTGATTCTTGGCCTAACAGCACATGGCGGAGCTGAACCCGGACATTCCAGCCAGGCTGCTTGTCTTCTAACCCCAGTTCTGCCACTCACTGCTGGGGGGACCTTGAGCATGTGCTTGACCTCTCTGTGACCCCATTTCCTCTTGTGCCTGCCTTAGAGAGCTGCAGTGAAGACACAGCAGGTAGCTCAGGCAAGGCAGCCTTGGCTCCTGGCCCTCGGGGGTGGGTAACTCGGGGGCTCTTCCCCAAGAGTGATGGGCTGGCGGGCAGCCACACTTGGCAACCTCTAAGGCCAGCGCTGGGACTGCCCAAGACAGGCATCACTTCTAGGCGTGGAGGTCGGGGGCCTCCTAAGAGAGGGGCTAGGAATCCTGAAAAATAACAAAGAACTAGCCAGCGGAGGGCTGGGGCTGGCTGTGCCGGGAGGAGCCCGTGGACGTCGGGGCAAACGGACCAGTCGGTGGTCAGTGTGAAGGAGCTGGAGGGGGGCTGGCAGGGAGGGGGCGGGGGAGGCCAGTGGCGGCTGCTCCTTGGGCAGTGCCTGCCACGCGTTGGCTGCGTCCCGGCAGTTGGCGTGTGTCAGCTCACACCCCACGCGGTGGATCTCAGGATTCCAGCTGCATCCCGTGAGGCAGAGCGCACCCCGAGGTCTGGCCTCTTCCCAGGCCGCGTGGCCCAGGAAGCGGCAGAGCTGGGGCTCCAGCTGGGCACCTGGCTCTGGACCTGAGCTCTGGAGCCCCTGCCAAGCCAGCCCTGGGGGAGGCCTGCGCGGGGCTGAAGAGTTTGCATCTTACCTCGAAGGCCCTAGAGTCTCAGATTTTAGGAAGTTGGTCCTTAAAGTGGGGTACAGAATGAATTGGAAGGGGAAAGGGGATCCACCAAGAAAACAGTCCCACAACTCAGGTGGAAGGCGCTGGCCCCAGACCAGGTCGTGGTGGTACACTCGGGTGACGGGCTGGAGCGTGGAAGAGGCAGGCCCCAGGGTTGGAGAGGGTTTAGAATCAGGGCACGGCGGCCCAAAGAGGAAACGTGAGGAAGGGGCACTGTCTGTCGGAAGAACTGCTGGCTCCGTTTCCACAGGGGCTGCCTGGCGTGTCCGAGGATGACCCGGAAGAGCAGGCGAGCACAGCTGGGTGAGGGTTTGGGGGCAGTGACAGGCAGGTCTTCTCCGACCCGCAGGCTAGATAAAGCCACCAGTGAAGGAGTGGAGAAGTGGCAAGCCTGGTGGTGTCACTCAAAGGGACCAGGGGGGCTTGGAGAGAGCCAGGGCGAGACCGCCCGGGTGCTGGGGGCCTCTGGGTCCCAAAGGCTCATAGTGGAAACACGGGCGAGCTCAGTCGACTGTGGGGGTGAAAGCAAGCCACGGGGGCAGAGGAGCACGTGCAGACGGTGCCACCATACCAGGGGGACCAGGGGACCAGGGTGTGGAGCCGTGCAGATAGAACAGGGGTGAGGTGGGAGCAGGTTCTCAATGGACACGTTTTATAAAGTTCTGACTTTTGAACCAGGGGTTTATATCATCTGTTTATAAGTAGAAGGAGAAAATAAAACAGAACTCCTGCAAACTCTCCAAAAGAAGCCCCAGGAGGCAGGGAGGGCCCCATCAAATGACCCGGCCTTAGAATGAGGAGTCTGCTAATCAAAGAGAGGACTGACTCTAGTGGAACAATCAGGTCATTCAAGACTGGCCAGTGGAGAGATCTGGGGACAGGTGACTTTGAAAATGAAGATGATGTACTCCAGCGGTCCTTCACCTGACACACCTGCTCCTGCCCAGCCCACCCCACAGGTGCAGTTGATTCTGCGGATGGTATCAGAAGACCTTGTATTGCTGGCCTTCCGAGGGGTCACGGTCAGGTGATACCCATCCCCGTGATGCCCCGGCCTTTCATGGAGCCTTACCGAATGAGTCCTTAGAAGCTTGTCCCACTGAATAAATCCGTCTCTGTCAGGGACAGAAGTGTGGTAGGTGCACGGAAGGGTGGCACTCTTTCCCCTGGCAGCCCGAAGAACTTCCTGCGGGGTTTCCACAGAGATGGCATTGACGGTCACCCAGACTGGAAAGAAAGCAGGAAAGCCATGCAAAGGTAACGACATGGACGTCACCTGGCACGGCATGGGACCTCTGCCAGAATGCCCAGCCCTCCTGTCCTGATGGCCTCAGATCCGGCTGCCACCACAGCAATGGTGGCCAAAGACCTCCACTGTCCTCCAGGGCAGGGAGGCCAGCGCCTGTGCCTGGTCCAGGCATCTCCACCCCGCAGCATCACGAAAAGGTTCGGTGCATCCGGTGGCCAAGCCTGGCTGCCACCTCAGCCCCACCTCCTCCCATCTCCGCAGATTTTCTAAGCCTCATTTTCTCATCAGTAAAATAGGAGTCTTCATACTGACTTCCCAGAGTTGTTGGGGAAATGAGAAAAGAGACCGTGCATCCATGTTTCCTTGTGCCTGGTCACAGGAGACCTCGACACAGATTGCTGGCCTCCCATGGGACTTCTTCATCTACTAACTGATGTGTGTGGTGAGAGTAAAGGGATGAGGGTGTTCCCGGGAGTGACTTTCAATGCCATCTCTGCTGGTCAGGATCCAGCCAGCAGCCAGAGGGGGGAACACAGGACGACACTGTCAGGGCTCCGCTCGTCACTCCCGTGCCAGCTTTACCATAGCTTGGCGCCAGCCCCCTGTAGGCATCTTGCAGTTCTCTCATGTATTCTCCCAGTTTCCTTGACAGTAGAGACTTGTTACCCCTGCCACAGGGTCAGGGACGTCAAGCAATGTGCTCTGCTTAGCAGCTGACCCAGCCTCGACAGCCAGCACCTGGCCAGCAGGCAGCAAGGCCATCTGACAGGCAGCCCCAGAGGGCGGGACCACAGGATCCACCTGCTGTCCCAGAACTTCCACCTGCCTTCGTCCGTCCCCCTCGAATAGTTAATATGTGCCGACGGTGGGGACCAGGCCCCTGCTCTGCCCACCAAGAGGTCATCTCCCTGGGGCACAGTCTGTGGACATGAAATGGGCTCACACGAGGATTAATTCAGTGACCAAACTCCAAGGACGACTCTCGCTGGCAGGAGGGAAACCAAGAAGCAGCTGGGAACTGCGGGGCAGCAGCGTCCACCGCTGGTCTGGACCCCTCGGCTCTCGGGCTTCACACACGTGGCAGAGGTGTCACCTCCAGATACAGGACACGCAGGGCTGAGGCAGTGAGCCTCGCCTCCTGCAGGGCGGCCACCCTCTCCCCAGGCCCTCCCTCTTCTAACTCGGAAGCGCCCTTTGACCTTGTATCCCCTGGTCTGCGCCCCAGGGCGCTTATCACACGCCCCTCCCCGGCCACTGGGGAAGTAGCGGCAGAGAGCTGAGTGCAGGGCTCCAGACCCTTCTCTGTTCAAAGCACAACCTTGGGCAGTCGACTCTCTGTGCCACAGGGTCCTCACTTGGGGGTGGATTGTATGGGGACTAGGTGACATGAAACGCAGACTTCCTTTAGGGGTTCCTAACTCAAAATTGGCGCTCAGCAAATGAGAGCTGCTACTCCACAGCACACACCTCTCCTTCCCCGGCCGTGGGCTGCTGCCGAGGTGCCCCCTGGGTAGGAGTTAATCCCAGAAGACAACCACCCACCGCTGTCCCAGGTGAGCTCTCGAAAGGACTGGCAATTGCTAATGATGGTAACCAGAGAACAGATCCACCTTAGAGATCATGACAACAGTGAGTCAGGTCCTTTTATGCTAATAGATTTGCGAGGGAAGACAGGAATGGATGAGAAAGAGCTTCAAAGAAAAAAAGGAAAAGGGGCGAAGGTCGACTGTAAACCTGAGAAGGACGTTAGAGGACTGGTCCCAGCCCTGGGGCTCACTCACGCTCCCCACTGCCCCAGACAGGCTTAAGAACCTTGTGCCTCAGGCCACCTGGTTATCTGCCTGGTGGAACCTCAGCCCCTCCCGGGCTCAGACACTGCCCTTGCTCTGAGGTCGCTGGCGGTGACACATGGGACGACTTCTCCGCGATCCTAACCTGTTCCTTTCACTTCTTCCCACAGGCCTCAGGACCACTGTCCCTCACTTTCTCTTCTGTGGGACATTTTGGTCCCCACTCAGATGTGCCAAAGTCACCAGGAGGGACAGGTGATCCATGACTGGAAAACTGGGAAGGGGGGAGATTCCTTTCTAGAAGCTTCCAACTGCCCCCTTTCTGCTTCCTTGTAGGGGGATGGTGGGGGCACCTTCCCACTGCCCAGAGCCACCTCCCTGACCCCGTCTGGTGCTGTTTCGACCTGCGCCCCTCCTGCTCCAGAAGTCTCCTTCCTACTCTGGGTCCCCTCTCCCCTTTTTTCCCACTCTGAGCCAAGTTGGTAGGTGCTGATGACCATCCTGTCCCCCTAGGGGCAGGTGGCCGGCAGAGCAGGGCCCGAGCTCCTCCTGCTACAGGGCTTGGTGGGGGGCTGGCCAGCAGCCTCCTCCAGGAGGCCCCTCACTCTCCCGTGGAGTCCTCCTCCTGTTCCTGGCTGTGTCGCTCCTCAGCCTCATTAACTTCTCTGTGCGCAGCTTCCTCAACAGTAAGGTAGGAGACCACGCCTCTCACTCAGGGTTGCTGCAGGGCAGGGCTGCACCTGGGCGGCAGAGCACCTGCCTGGCACCAGCCAGGGCCAGGCTCGGGTTCCCTCCCAGCGCTGGGAAAGGAAAGATGGAGGGCGCCGCCACCGAGCGGCTGTTTATCCCGGCCCAGCTCTGCTCTCCAGCTGCCACCCTGCGACTGCACCTCACCCGGCTCAGCCCAGGCTGGGCACGCAGGGGGGGCTGCAGCAATGCCCTGAGCTCGCAGGGGGGCTGCAGCAATGCCCTGGGAACGCAGGGGGGGCTGCAGCAATGCCCTGGGCACACGGGGGGGCTGCAGCAATGCCCTGGGTAGCCTAGGAAGGAGCCACGGGGAACTAGACTGAGGGAGTGTGGAGCTCGCCACCGGAAACGAAGATCCCAAGGACTCCTGGAAAATACCTCAATAAAACAGAGGACCCGAGGAGCCCGAGAGGGGACATGGAGTGTGCCAGGTGCCCCAGACAGAACAAGAGTCACCTAACCACTTGAGGAGGCAGGGAGTGGAGGCCCAGCTTGAGGCCTCCACAGTTGCTTGTAAATAATTAAGGTTTGTTAAGAAGATAGTAAACTGTCTCTTGAGACCAAGCAGAAAGGAGTACCTCGAAGGAGGATAATGAAACGCTCGACAGACTGGCTGCTTGAGGCCTCCACAGCACATTAGGGGGCCCTGGGGAAACGGCCAGCAGGGCCTCCATCAGGAAGATCCATTTGTTCAGAGAAACCACTTCCTCGGCTAGGGAGGAGATGCCGAGGCCAGGTGGGACCAGCGGCCCCAGAGCTAGACGCAGGCTCTGGCGCTGAGAAAGGCTCTCCAGGGAGAAGCAGGCAGGTGTGTTCTGCATCCCAGGTGGAAAGTCCCCAGGGGCTCCCAAGCCGGCAGCCGAGGGACAGTGAGAGGGTCAGGGACTGGAGGCTTGAACAAGCCCGTTGAGATGTTGATCGACACGGATCTTTAGGATCCACAAATTAGATCAATTCAGTGAATTTCTTCCCAGGTCCCAGCTTTGGCCCCCTGCCCAGAAAGCCCCCAGGACCGCTCGGCCCTCACTGCAGCCCACTCTTCTGAACTGCGTCAGGCCGCACGCATCGCCCATGGGTGTGACTCTCAGGCCATGTGGGTCTGTGGGTACAGGTGGCATGTCCCTCTGTGCCAGCTCCATGCCCCAGACTTCTCTTGAGCCCCCCACTTGCTGGCTCAACCCCAAGTTGTCTAGGCAGAGCTGGGGGCCTATTAGTCCTGGTGAGTGAGTGACCTGGGCACAGTCCCTGCCTGGGAAGCAGCCAGAGGTCACCATCAGCAGCAGCCTCACCAAGTGCTCCCCACGAGAGTGAAGGGGGCGGAGTCCAACAGAAGGCTCCCTAGAGCTGGGCCTTGGCCTGGCCCCGGGATCAATGCACCCTGTCAAACTGGTGTACATGAGGAGTGAAGCCGGCTGCAGAGCCGTCTCAACACCACCAACCCCCACAGAACAAACCAGGGTCAGTAAGCCATCCTTGGGTTGGGGACCGCGGCACCCTGGGTCTCTGCCTGGAGCGCTTTACTCCCCACACGCTCCGCAGTGAACGCACAGTACTCTTGTGGCCTCGACGCCAAGCAGGAGGTGAAGACCAGGAGACCTGGGGCCTCCTTGGTGTCAAGAAGCTCGCGTGACCCGGAAGGTGACAAAGCTGAAACCAGGGGCTGTGAAGGGCCTTGAAGGTCCTTAAGTCCCTCAAACTAAGATGGAGAGCCTTGGGTGGCCCTAGGTTCCCGGGCGCTCCCAGCAAGACTGGGAATGGGGAGGAGCCAGAGGAGCAGGCCTCACGGGGAGGACCAGCCTGGCCCTGGGAGGAGGCGGCCCGTCCACCCCTCACACCCCTCTCCCAGGGAACTTGTGACGGTCCCAACCAGGAGCGGCAGTCTGAGGCAGGTCTGTGCTCGCCAGGAATTTCTGGCTCCTTACTCCCCAGGGCAGGTCACGGGGCGGCGAGGAAAGGGGAGCGCCCAGGAAGAGGAGGGTTCCAGGAGGGACCGTCGGTGCCCTGGGCAGAGGGGCCACTCCAGGGACTGGGCAAGAGCCACGCCAGCCGAGCAGTGGGGAGGAGGCCCCAGGCCCCAGCCGAGCGCTCCCAGCAGGGGAGGTGTGAGAGCCACCAGATGTCCCCTCCACGCCCAATGTCCCCTCCACAATGTGCTGTCCACGGGCAGGAACGCCCACACGGAGTGAGGGCACCAGCTCCTGCTAGAGAAGCTAGTGTCCCAAGAATGTGACCCCTGGAGAGGAGCAGAGGCAGCCTGGGAGACAGGGAGGGGGACCAGCAGGAGGGAGGCAGGGAGGGCAAGCCGTCAGTCACGGGGCGGGGGGGGGGGGGGGCGGGGGGGGGGGGAGGGTGCTTGTCCCTCAGCACCTAGCCAGCAATGGGCTGGGCGCCTGTGTCCAGACTCCCTGCCAGACGAGGGAGGCGTGGCTGCCCCAGTGGTGTCCAGCTCTCAGTGAGTCAGACAGTAATAAATAAATAGTCACAGAGTAGAGGGGAAGCCACCATAGTCACAAGTGTCACCCATTGAACAGAGAACAGAGCTGGGGACTCGGAGGAGGAAGGGCCCGTCCAGCTGGGGTGGAGGAGGAACAGGAGGAGCAAAGAGGAGCTAGGAAGGGGGTGTGGGAGAGAGGGCGTCGTGCAGAGGTCAAGGAGGAAAGGGTGTGTGTGTGTCCCAGAGGTGCCAACCGGCCGGGTGTGGCTGGGGCCTGAGCCCCATCCCCCAGTCTTCAGCCTCCAACCATTCCCTCAAAGACACAGGTAAAATGGCAGACCTGCCCCACCCCGGCAGCTTAGGGCAAGTCCTGCCCTTCACCAGGCCGCATGCTGCCACCCCCAGGCCCTCCTACAAAGGGACTCCAAGGTCACACCAGGAGTCCACAGATGTGGGCTGGGTCCAAGCCTAAGAGTCATCGGCAACAATAGTAGAAGAAACAGAGGAAATGAGCAGAGACCGTGAGAGCGAACATCGTCAGGCACAGTGGGCATCTGGAACCAGTGCCGAGAGACAGGGGCCGTGAGTGGCCAGGCCATTTCAAAAGCTAGTCCCAAGACTGAGACTCTTACCCTCAAGAGGCAGGGGTAAGCCTCCTCTCTTGACTTGGGGTCTGAGACTGACCCATAGGCTATGTTCACAGGGTAGGGCGGTCCGTTCTGGGCCTAGGCCTGCACTTCCTGCCTCTTGGGTAGTTTGCTCTTGGACTCCAGCCACAGCCCTGAGAAAGCCAGTTCCCTGTGGAGACCCCCCCCCCAGTGGGGAACGGAGTCAGCACCAGCTTGCCAGCCGCCCAGTGCCCATCTTGGAAGGGGATTTTCCAACCTCAGGGAAGTCACCCCGGCTGAAACTGCCAAGCCTCATCCCAATTGTAGATTGGTGAGCAAAATAAGTGATTTGCATTGTTTTCAGCCACTACATTTGGGGTGGTTTTGTACATAGGAATAGAAAATGGTTTCAATTCCTTTTTTCCCCCTGAGCAATAGTGAACATGGCAAGTGACTCTTAGGTCTCTGCCCCCTGATCCTGGATGGGTTGGGTGACGCCTTTGGACCGAGGTCACTGGGAAGGACCCGGTTAGGGGGCCGAGGCCATGAGTTTGTTTTGTTTGAGAGTCTGAAGTGACTTGGGACTCCGGGTTGGGCTGCTGGACTCGTGGGACTCCAGCCCAGGAGAGAGGTGGCGCCTGAAGGCCGGCATCTGCGAGCCAGCTGCGCCGGGTGCCAAGGAGAGCGTGGGGCGGATGTGGACGCAGAGTGAAGCTGGAAGGGTCGGGTCTGAGCGCGAGGAGCTCTGACCCCGTGGCAAGGCCAAGGAGGCTGCGGAGGAGCAGAGCCCCTGGTGGAGGGGAGGGGGGGACGAACGCGGAGCACCGCAGGGAGGAGGAGGAGACGGCAGCCCTACAGGCCTGCCGCCCACCTCACAGCGAGCAGTGTGGCTAGGTCACCAAGAGCCCTGGGCTGCAGTCCCCGGGGCCAAGGCACCGTGCGATCACACCCGCGTTCAGGAACAGCTCCTTCCCCGGAGCCTTGCCTCTCAGCCATGGTCCTGCCACAGCTGCGCCACCAGGAGCTTGTTAGAAAGGCAGACCCCAGAGCCTAGCCTGGGCCTCCTGCAGCAGCCTGCACCGTAACGAGATCTCCAGGCCACCGGGCGCACGGCTGGGCTCCTGAGAGGAGGCACCAACCAGAGGCTGGGCAGACACTCGGGGAGGTGGTAGAACGAGGAAGACCGAGCTTAGAGAGCAACTGATCACTAACCCACTTCTCCTCAGAGTGCAGCTCTGAACCCAGAGCACACACCAGAGCCACGTGGGCAACTTCTAGAACCTCAGAGAGAAGTCCCGACCTCCCTCTGGATCTGGATGCAGAGGGTTAGGGAGGCTGGCCGCTGTATTTTTCCTCCCCGGGTGATTCCGATGGGTGACCAGAGTTAACAGCCACTCCTCCCCACCTGAACACATGCCCCTGTCAGACTGACCATCCCCACGTCCTCTGCCCTTCAGGACTGGGACTGGACTAGCTGGGGACGGACTGGGACCATCAACCCCTGAGTGCACTCTGACGGACAGAGGGCCTCGTCTGTGACTGCTGGCTTCTGCCTAGTGCCCAGGAGCCAGCAGCTGGTGCCCAGTCCCTGGGGAGCCAGGGTTTGGAGTGGCACAGGACACAGGGCCGTGGCCTGGATAGAGGTCAGGCTGCCTCTCTTGCCGTGGCACCTGCCGTTGACACCCCGTGACTCTGGTCCAAACACACCTTTGGGGACTGAGATTCACTGGGCACAGGACACTCTAGCTCATCTGAGAAGAGCCCCGTGAACTGCCTAACCTGGGCCAGGCCACTGCGCAGAGCACCGACACGTGGGTGACGCTGGGCTCAGACATGCCTGAGGGAGCGCCCCAAGCCAGCCAGCCATCGGGACGCGTGCTTCAGCGTGGGCCTGGGGGGGGGGGCAGCACATTCAGGAGACCCGTCCTTCTGGGGATTGTGCCTCTCACAGAGGCCCAGGAAGGAGGCTGACCAGCCTCAGAACGTCAGCAGCTTGGACTCCATTCTCCTTGAAGACCCAGCCGGCTCAAGCACCATGGGATTACGGAGGCCTTTTACGGGGAAGGAGGAGACAAGGCCTTCTTTTCTCATCGGGTACACTTCGCAGTGATGGATTCCTCCATTTGTCTGTGTAAAGCAGTACTTCCCTAAACTTTCCTAATTTACTTGGGAAGACAAGGAAGCTTCCCGTAGTTGTTGGAAGGCGGGTCGTGTGGGGGGGGGTCAGGTCTTCACAGTCTTCACGGGCCCTGGACAGAGCTGATCAGTGGCCTCCCAGAGCCTCCCCCGCATGTCCCTTAAGCACGTCTCTCAGCCCTACCTTATCACATCAGATCCTTTGGCACGGAATCTGGTGGCCCCGTGAGAAATGGAGTCTGGTGGCCCCGTGAGACGTGGAGTCTGGTGGCCCCCTGAGACATTTCCCGGAGTGAAAGAGCCTCGATTTTGTGCACAGATTGGCGCCTTTTCCTAGCAAGTTGGGGAGGGTCAGGCACAGAGTGGCTTTTTGGGCGACAACACGGGGCTCATCCACAGTGACCTCCAACTCCATTTCTTGCAGGCGTGGGCCAGATCAGACCTGAGATGAACGGTCACCAGAGCCTCATCAATTTCCTGTGTCTGCACTTGCCACACAAGCCACAAAGCCGTAGTGGTAAGGAGCATTGGCGGAGCGCTTATGACGTGCCGGACACTGTTCTAACTCGTCACACGGCGGGTCCCAGTCGACAGCCCCAGCCTGAGGGAGGGCACATGGGCTGTAAACCGCCCTCTCCATTTC